CATGTCTAGCATTTGACCAGCCATGGCACTGCCAGCTCTGTAATCCCGACGGAACTCGGTATGCAGGGGGCAATCGTAGAATCGGTGCCAGGTAGATCCAGCACTCTGACAGGCAAGGCAGCTCGGGTTGACGGCTCCACCTGACTCGTACAGTCGCTCCTGCGACCAGAAACCTCCTGCAAACAGGCACCGCAGCAGTCCCTGATGCCTTGGGGTCCAGTCAGGGCCTCGGACAGAATGAGGCTGGAGGAGGGACCTCAGGGGCTCCACGAGAGGAGGATGAGGGCAGGGCGAGACCCACGAGGGATGCTTCGCGAGAACCTGGCGCCACACCCACCGCTCGGTGGCCTCATCAACTAACCTACCTCCATCCTTCGGGGAAATCTGTTCAATTGCAAGAGGACCTCGGTGGGTCTTCCAATGAAAAGGGTCAGATACAGACCAACCCAACCGCAAAATTGTCGCAACTAGCGCAGAAGCAGGTCCGCGAATGTCAGACCAAACTTGAGACACAGGAACTCTAGACAGGCGTGTCCATGCTCCACTCAGAAGTCGCGCCATATCTGCTCTGGGGGCCCATCCGTCCCACAGCGCCTGCAGCCAGAGGAAGATCGGGCTCCTGTTGCACTCGAAGGCGGGGTCGACCTGCGGCCCAGCCAGCATGAGGTCCAATGAGAGCGACCTGCCCGTGTGCCTGTAGACCATGCCCGCGCGCGCCAGTTGCCTGGCGCTCAGTAGGTGCGTGTTGCTGATGCCGTGAACTCCCACTGCCCAGAGCATCCCAGGCTTGAGGCCAGTCTGCACCAGCTTGATCGTCTTGCCCCCAGCTTTCGCGAGCCGCTTATACCGAGGGATCCGAGACGCCATCCTGCCCAGCCGCTGTGCACGAACCGAATGAGAAAGCCGATTTCCACCGCCAAAGTCCAGCCCCAGGTTCCGAACCGAGCGTGTGAGGAACCTCGACGAGGACGGGTTGACTTTCCTAAACACCTTCCGTATGCCTTGGCCGATGACCACCTGGTGCTTCTTGGGCAGGGAGAGAGTCAAGCCGATCTGCGTAAGCTCAGCCGCCAATAGGTCCTCGGCCCCCTTGAGTTCCCTGGCGACTTCCCATGCCTCGCCAATACGTTGCAACTGCAGATCATCTACCACGACCGCCACCTCGACATTCACGAAGCGAAGAGAGACGGCATCCACTGGCGACAAGAGCACCAGACGCAGTAGGGAAGTCGCGCAGCTGCAGCCCGCGACAATCGTGCGGTGCGTCACCACCACCTGCGTGGCGATGTTCTGGAAGAGCACCATTCTGTCGAGGCAATATGATGCGAGCAGGAAGCGAAGGGTCTTACCTCGGAACTTGTGCCGACGGGCTGCTGCAGCTAAAACATGGTGGGGCACGTGCTCATATGCTTTGACCAGGTCGAGCAGGGTTGTCCCTGCCGCTCTGCCCTGGTCTCTGGCCAACTCCGCCTTGAAACTCTGCTTCCAAACGCAAATGTCACATGAGGCCCCTGAGTCACCATACCAGAACCCGCGAGGGTTTGCCTTTTCCCAAGGGCCAGCAACTTTCCATCGGGCCCAGCGGGACCACAACCGAAGAGGCGTCGCGAAGATCCCAATAGGACGATCTCCCCCTTCAGGCGGCGGCTTCGGTAGAAGAGCAATAAGCAGCAGAGCCCAGCACCTCGGAATGTGAACCAGGCGCTGCATCTCGGCCCAGATCCGAAGGAAAACCGCGACAGCGCCGTCGTCGAGGAAGGACCAGTGACGGGGATGCAGGCCACAGACTCCGATGGCCGTGTGCGTGCTGTAGGTCCTGGTAAGGGCTAAGAGCTCCTCATGGGTGGGGGCCTCCAGCTCTGGCTCGTCATCGCACCAACCAAAATCAGGCTCTGGGAAAACTTGTCCGACACCCCAATGCTGATGCCACTTTTGAGCCCGAAGATCGGCTTCAGCAGCAATCCCCAGAGGCTCACCAGACGGCCCCGAGAAACAAGAGAGCCCAGATGCAGCCCACTTCGGAACCTCTTTGGTGAACCGGTGGCCCAGTCGAGCGCTCCCAGATAACGCATCTTGAACCCACTCACGCCAGGCTCGGGCCCGCTCCGAGGCCGCATGATGCTCGTGCTGAAGGGCCCACTTTCGGACCTGCCAGATCAACTCCTGGAGCTCCGAGACGTTGGCAGGGTTGACGGCCAGAACCCGAACTCGCCAAGAAGCCCAATGCTTGCAATCGGTGAAGGGGGACAGGTAGTTCACGAGCTTCCGCAAGAGGATCCCCGCTTGTTTGATCCCCCCCAAGGTGGGCGCAGGCCCATGCCAGAGATACACGATGTCCTGGAGTCGCCTTTCCAAGACACGCCACATACGGCCCTCCCCAATAGCCCTGGGGTGAGTGGAGGCAGGGGGGCCGAGCAGAGGGACTTGCACCACCTTGGGGGGGCCTCCTCGGCCTCGGTATCGTGGATCCCCATCGACATGAAATACGCGAGAAAGCGCCACCTCAGCCCTTTGAACCCACAGAGAAGTGACAGCATCCAAACGGTCCTTGGTACAATCCCCCTGGGAGAGCTGATCACGCAAGTCGTCCCACTCCAGGGGGCGAGGGTCGCATCCAACAGGGCGGTGGAGTGGGAACGCCGACGGCTTCTTGAGCCTGGGAACTGTCACCTGCCGCGGGTGGCCAGACATGCTCAGCACCACAGGGCGGTGCGGTCTGGTACTGGTAGACCATGTCGCAACTGAGCAGCTCACCACAAACTGCTTGAGCGAGGAGGAGAGGACAAAGTAATCGATGGACGACCGAGACGTACCCAACTGACAGGTCCAATTCGAGACGTCAGAGACCACCTCAGCCTGAAGATCCCCAATCCAACCAGACTCGACCAGTTGCTCCGCTGAAAACTGAAAATCTCCACCCAGAATAAACGGCATGCCATACGCCCTCAGGACCTCCCCAATACTGTGCAGCAAGGAAAGATTTTGACCGCGGCAGCCGATTCCAGTGTGCAGGTAGACCGATCCGACTAAAACACCTCCAGTACATAACCCACTCCAGAGCCCCAGACGAAATCGACATCCAGGAGGAACCGCGATACCCTCAGGCAAATCATCGAGTCCTTTGAGGCCCCAGAGCTTCGAAGTCGCAATGCCCACTCCTCCAGTGGTGCCAGCCTCTGAACGACCTGAGGGGGCAGCAGGAGTGAGGAGTGAGACCATGCCAGCCTTGACCAGCGCCTGCTGAACGTCCACCAAACGTAGCTCCGTCTGGTGGTGCTCTTGGAAAACGTAGATGTCGGCATCCACAGAGTCGCAGAGCTCCAGGAAGGGCCTTCTCGTGACCTTACCCCTGTCCCCGCACTCGATGCCCCACGAGGTGATGTTGGCCGTACACAGCTTCCATACCTCAGGCCGACGGGCCGCAGGAGTCTCCTCCTGCACCGCAGGAGTCTCCTCCTGCACACTCTCGCCTCGAACTCGTCGATGGCCAGTAGCCCCAGCCCGCGCCGCCAGGGAGCGCCACCTGCCTCGGTGTGAGGCGGGCGCAGGCAGGCGGCGTCCAGCAGCTGCAGCGCCGACCCCGCTACCCCGACGGGGGTGGGGCACCAGCGACATCGCGGTCAGCAGGCATAGGAACATCAGCAGGAACATCAGCAGCCGCAGGGCCAGGCGCGGCCGAGGGGGCCGCCGCCGCCGCAGCCTCTGGGCCTGGCGCGTCCCTCCTGGGCCTCTTGCTGAGGGCTGAAGGGTTCTGCAGGAAATCGAGCATGGTCCTGTAGAGACCTTCGTACTGCCCTGCCTGTCCGCCCTCCAGCAACTCAGTAAGTTGCTGCTTGCAATCCTCCGCCACACGTGAGTCCGAGGGTGCCGCTGGGGCTGGCGAAGGGCCGCTGCCCGACATGGCACGCTGCGCGGCCTCCTCGGCCTGTGCCTTCCGCCGTGCTTCCTCCTGCTCCTGGAAAGAGGCCCCAGCAGCAGCCAGGTCGCCCAGGAGGTCCACCGCGGTGCGGAGCTGGTCCGCCTTCGCCACTCTGAACGACTCGGGCAGATGGCCGAACAGCGTCTCCACCAGCCCGTTGACCGCCGCCTTGCAGTCATCACCAGCAGGGTGAAGAGCAGCACGTCGATGGAGCCTCTGGAGCTCCTCCTCTTCCTTCTTGACCGATTCCGCCAGAGCCGCCTGGGATGCAACGCAGTCCTCCAGGTCCTGCTCCAGCTCCGTGATCTGTTGACGGAGGTTGGCCTCCGTCGCCTTCGACGCAGTAAGCTGGCCCTGGAAGTGGGCCAGCTTGTCCTGATGGGACCGAACTCGCATCCATGGCGGTGGGCCACGTTCGTCAGGCTGAGCAGCAGCAGCGGAGGGCACCTGAGCCTTGGCGGCCACCAAGAGCGGGTGGTCGTCTGCCAGCCCAGCAAGCGTGAGCTGCTCCACTGCAGCCGCGAGGTAGTCGCGCTGCGTCTGCTTGCCACCTGTGTCCGATCCTTTGCCACTGCGCTGCTGGGCCGAGCCGCCCTTCCCACTCCCAGACTGGGACTGGTCAGCACTCGTGCCTGGGCTCGACTTGGCCTTGCGGCGCGTGGACTCCACCTGTTGCCATGCATCCTTGGACTGCTGCTCGCCTGACCAAGGACGGGGGGGCCCCTTTGACCGTGTCCCGAACCGGGTCGTCGCGGAGCCACTTCTTGCAACGATAGCAGCGAGCCCAATCCACCAGATTATACTGATAGCCACATGAGCTCTTGCCATAGCACGTCTTGTAGCCGCTCTGGGAGGGGGTCTGGTGTCTGCTCTGGGAGCGGGGCTGCGGGGGCGCGGGGACCATGCCACAGCAGCTCGAGAGCAGGAGAAGCCAAAATCCCTCGTCTGGCCTGGCAGACGAGGAGGAGCACTGTGGGGGCCGCTGCTCCCCCCTTGCCAGTGAGGCCAGGTCCTGACCCGAAAGGGCTACGGACTTGAGCCAAAATGGCTACGGAAGAGAAGGGCCCGATCGACGGGCCGCCTGGGCCGCGGGAGCCTCCGGGGCGCCCGGCGCAGCCGGGGCGCACCAGCGCCGGGGGGGCAGGGCGCCCGGGCGCCGCAGCGCGCGGCCCGCGCGCAGGGCGCGCGGCCCGCACGGCGGCATGGCGGCGCGGCCGCGGCGCGGGGCGGGCTCGGAGGAGGAAAGGGCACCCCTGTAGATAGGGGAACGGAAGGGGGCACACTCCAGATTTCGAAACAAAAGGGAGGGGGTCTGTTTCTTCCAGGACAAGCCATTTCAGACCCCCCCGGTGGGAGAACCCTCCAAAACATCGTCCCCAGACCCCCCAGGCCCTCCAAGATAGCCTGGAAGAGACCCCCCCCCGAAATGAGACCCCCCTCCCTTTCTTACGAAATCTGGAGTAAACATAGAAACTCGGAGGTCCGCGCGGACTTCTCGGATCGGCGCTGGGGCCCCCAAGGCGGCGCCTCCGGCGCCGCCCCTGGCGCGCTCCGCGCGCTAGGGGGGGGGTCCAGCGCCGATCCGAGAAGTCCGCGCGGACCTCCGAGTTGTTCCCCTACCATACCTCTGCCCCTCGCCCGCTGTCCCCTTTTTCGGCCTCCTGGGAGGCCCTCGTCGCCACCGCTGGGGTCGCCTCGAAATGCTGGTCAGAACGCGCCCCGGGAGAGGCCCGGGGAGTAGCGGAATCAATATCTTTTTTTGGTAGGGCACAAATAAACCTCCCTCGCTTTTGACCACCCTCGCTTCCAAGAGATACCAAGCGACGCCAAACTACGGCCTGCGCTGGTCAGGCCGCCTGACGAGGAGGCGCGTGGTATGGCTTGGTTTTGCCTGGAAGCGAAAGCGGGGTAGGTAATTCACGCTCTGTTTTGGGCGGGCTTCCCCACAGACGAGGTGGGGGGGGGCCCAAGCTCCTGCCGGGGGGGGGGGGGGCGGAAGGGCAGGGCAGCAAAGGGCAGGCCGGCCAAGCAGCTCACGTAGCTAGCTAGCTATAGTTTGCCTGGCGCCTCCTAGCGCCTCCTGGCGCGGGGAGGCGCCCGTGTATCGAGGGATGGGCCCGGCGGCGTGGCGGAAATCGGCTGCATGCAGCAGATTTCGTAGACTGCTCGTCCGTCCGGCCCGAGATCAAGGAGGGGGACCCCGAGATCACGGCGCCGCATTCTTTCCGCGCTGGGCGATGTTGTTTCTTATCCGAGGCCATCACCAATCCGAAGAATGCAGCAGAAAAACTGGGTCTACGGCTCCAGCCGTGATTCTTGAACGATGTCTCAATTTTGTCGCGACGTCGGATCTCAGGGGAGCCCAGACCCCCTCGCGTCCATGACAAAAACACGGCAAGATTAGTTGTTCATGTTGTTGGCGTCGGGGAGCTCTTGCCAGGCCCTAAGACCGTCAAAGAACGACTCAAGATTAAAAACTTGCCCCAGGGAGTGAGTCAAGACCTCCGGGGGTCGACGTTGCAACACAACCATGACGTCGAGGGTCTTGAGGATGGGGAGGGATGCTCGGACGGGGGCTGCCGAATAACCCTGAGATCTCGGTGTTACAATTCTGCTGGCGCCAGGCGCTTTCGCCAAAGTTCAGACCCCCCGACCATCACAGACGAACCTGGCTGGAAGAATGCCGCAGAAAAGCTTGGCCTCCAGGGTTCCAGTGGCGACTTGAGGCCATGTGCCACGTTCTGCGCACCGTCCGATGTCAGGGAGTGGCTCCCTGTCCTTGCTCTCCTCCCTCCTCCCTCCCCCCCCCTCCGAGGGAGGCGGGCCCCGCGACCCCGCGCGAGGCTCTGAGCACTCTCACGGCCTCCTGGCGCGTCGATCGAAGAGTGCAGGAAGTGCCCCTGCCCCCAGGATTTTCAGGGTGGCCCTCGTAGCCTTCAGAGCACCCCTCACGAGGCCCAGAGGGCCCCAGGGGCTCCAAGATGGCGCGAAAAGCTCGGAGCACCGTGGGCCAGGGACACCTTTGGCAACCTGCGAAAGGGGGCTGTCGAGTCAGCCGCGTTGGAGGCCTCCACATTTGGCGCGAGACAAGGTGGGGTCGGATGATCGCGCCGCATGGTCGTGGGGAAGATCGGATCGGACTCCAAATCGAACCGCATCGCCCATGCGTCGGCGACGTGGGGCGACCTGCAAGCCCCATCAAACCTCCCCATTTGGGAGGCCTGGACCAGTCAGTCAAGCCTGGCGATCAAACGGCGCACTGGCAAATACAAGTTCTGAATGGTACGCTCGAAGATGGAGGGGGGGGGGCAGGACAGGAGGAGGGCGGAGGAAGGGGGGGGGAACGAAAAGCGAAAGCCAATGATCGTCACATGGGTTGCGAACGCAGGGGGAGTTATCGAATCAGCGGCATGCAGCTGACCCTCCTGGCGCCGACCGGCATCCGAGACGCCGAGACATCGAGAAACGCGCTGGGCGGCGGCGACGCAACTGGCTGCAAGCATCGGAGTTCGTGACCCCCCCTTCCCACTCCCCCCTTTTCGACGCTGCTCCCTTGACGCATAACCCCAGGAAGCATTTAAGACCCCCCCCGGCGATATCGTAGCACCGCATGTTTTATTCGATATTCCGAAGGGCCGAAATAACCGAACAATAGCTGTAGCACCTGGACATGATGATGATGATGATGATGATGATGATGATGATGATGATGATGATGATGATGATGATGATGATGATGATGATGATGATGATGATGATGATGATGATGATGATGATGATGATGATGATGATGATACGGATATGGATGATGGTGCGGAAAGGTTATCGATTTGCCGGAGGGGGGGGGTTCTTAAATGCTTCCTGGGGTTACAAATGCCCTTCTGACGTGCGCGGATCAAAGGATGTGCTTGCATTGCTGGTGGTTTTCGTCGTGATCAAACCTCAGCACGCCATACATTGCAGCAGCCAAGCATGGCCGCGAGGGCTGCCCGTATATGAAAACAGCCCTTCCCTCCGACCCGAGCGTGGGCAGGGCAGCCAGCCGCGCCGTCTGGGGTTCGCTGGAGGCGAGCCCAGAGAGGGGCCAGGCGCAGGCAGGAGTGAGGACCGGCTGGGCGTACGAGTTGCGTTCTGCTTCCTCCTCCCCCCGTCCCTCCTCCTCTCCCCCGCTCTCCCAAAGCACTCCTTGCACGACTTCGTTCGCGCCCGAGGTTGGGGCCGCTCAGGAGCAGGAGTGCCTGGACCTGCAGTCCGTAGAGGCCGAGGAGTCTCTGGCCCCGATGGGTTAACCCAGCCACTCCCTTACCGTGCTCTCTCGGCCTCCTGAGCCTCTCCCCGCCTCACCTGCTTGAAGGGGCCCCAGGACACACAAATAAATACACGCAAATAACAGGATTCCCCATATTTTTCCATATTTTCTGGGTTTTTGTCTTCCCCCCCACTTCCCATATTTTCCCGTATTTTCTCGGGAATCGACGATTAATTGTGTCTGTGTGATTTTTCCCTCCTGACTGTTCCCGCCCCTCCTGTCCGAGGACCAGGTCCTTTGCACGAGGCAACACCCCGAGGAAGCCAGGGCCAGGAGAGCGGCCCGCCTGCACGCGGCCCAAGAAGGATTGCTCCGCGCCGGGTGGGATCCCCTTTTGGGCTCCATCGGCGAGGACCGCCCCGCTGGGAAGGCTGGAAAGTCCGACCTTGCTTTCTTCGGGGCGGCCAAGAAGGGGGGCGTGCAAGAGGGGGGGGCGCAAATCATGGCCGGCGGCACGTGCGCGGCCCAGGAAGGGGGGGGGGGCAGGAACGTCATGAAACAAGAAGAGGCGCCACGAGACCTCGAGAAATATCATGGCCCGCGCCAAGATGTCCACCCCCCCTAGTCATCACCCCCCTCTTTGCCGCCCCCGATTCCTGGCTGATCCGCTGCCGCGGGGCGGTGGCGGTGGCCGGGGCGGATGGCGCAAGCGTGACGCTTGCGCCACCCGCCCCGGCCGCTCCCAGCGCACCCCGGGCGCGCTCTGTGCGCCAAGCCGCTGGCAGACGACGGCCTCCTCCTCCGCCTGCTCCTCCTCCTCCTGCTCCTCCTCCTCCTCCTCCTCCTCCTCCTCCTCCTTCTCCTCCTCCTCCTGCCCCTCCTCCTCCTCCTCCTCCTCCTCCTCCTCCTCCTCCTCCTCCTCCTCCTCCTCCTCCTTCCCCTCCTCCTCCTTCCCCTCCTCCATCCCTTTCCCTTCCAAGTAACTTCTCCCTGTGGCACACCCAGGCGTTTCGGGAGGGCGGGCCTGGCGTTTCGCATGGGCCTCTCTCGCCCGTGGTGGCCCTGGAGCTTTCAATGTGCAACGGCTACACGGATGCAGGTGTGGTGGTTTCCAGAACGGGGCGCTCGCCGTAGCGTCGTGCACTTTGGTTGTTTAGAAGCCACTTGCAACAAGTAAGGGGTGGAGGGGGTCATACTCAAAATGGAGCTCTCGCCCCTCGCCTCAACGCCGGCGCACATTCGTCTCAAATGCTTGCAACCGTTGCGCGGATGGTGGGATCGTGTTCGTACTAGGGTTTCGACCTTGCCCAGCGCACATTCGCGGTCCAAATTTTAGCTCTCGCCCAAGCAACGCGCGCACTCGTTGTAACATCTTGTAACCACTACGCGGACGGAGGCGGGCCCACTTCACAATGGGGCTCTCGCCTGGCCGTCGCGCGCGAATGCCCCAACAGCCTGTAGCAGGTACCCAGATAGGGGGTCGAGTCGATGTGGCTCCCGCTCGAACACGTCGAACAGGTGCTGTACACACCTGTTCGATGTGCTCGAGCGCTCATTGTTCTCATTGTCCCGCTTGTTCTCATGTTCTCATTGTCCCGCCTGTCGAACAGGATGTTCAATGTTCTCGTTGTCCCGCTGCCTGCACGGGCGAAGGGCGGCGCTGCTTCTGCCGGGCGGGGCCGCCGCAGAGGGCGCTCTGCATCCGCTGGCCCGCAGTGCAGACGTGCGCAGCCGCTTCGACGGACGGGCGGGGGCTTTTTTTTTGTTTTGTTTTTTTGTTTTTTGGTATATATAGATTGTTATGAAAAAACCGCGGGGCTCTCGCTGGGCACGCCGTTGTTTCTTTGAACCTATAGGTGTTGCGCTCCTCGTCACCAGCCATGAAAAAAAGCACGGCGGCCCCGTTTCGGAACGGCGGTCTCCCGGAATGGCAGGCCCGTGGCTTTGGTGTTCGT